AAACCAACCAAAAATATATGCTTAACTTTGAAAGAAACTGCCAGACTATTTTTTGAAGTGGCTACAGCCCTTTCACTTGTGTAGCCCTTAGACTTGTGTAATTGGAATTCCACTGTTCCATATGCTCACCAGAACTTGGCCTTAGTTTTGCAAATTTCAGCTACTCAGCTAGATATAGAGTAAAATATCCTATGACTTTGATCTGTGTTTCCCTAATGGCTAGTGTTGGTGAGCATGTTTTCACAGGCCATTTATCTCTGAGTAGCCAGATCATTTGCCCATTATTTAAAATTGAACCCAGCATGGTGGCACACAACTTTGATCCCAGAACTCAGAAGGCAGAGGCAGGTGATCTCTGTGAGTTCCAGGCCAACTAGGGCTACAGGGAGACCCTGTCTCAAAAAACGTTAAAATTGGAGGGATATTTTTTCTTTGTTTATGGTGCTAAGGATCCACCAAGGGTGTTGCACATGCTAGGCAAGCACTCTACCACTGGGCTGTGGTCCAGCCCCTAGGTTGTCATGTTTTTGTTTTTGAAACAGTTTCATATAGTTCAGGCTAGCCTTAAACTCACTATATACCCAAGGATGGCCTTAAACTTCTGGTCTTTCTTCCTCCACCTCTCAAGTGCTGAGATTAAGAGTGTGTGTCACTGCATCTGGTCTTATGTGATACTGGGGACTTGTGCATGCTAGGTTGGCACTGTACCAGCTGAGCCACATTCCCAATCCCCTGTATTATATTGTTATTGTTAGGAGTTTATCTTTATATTTGGAGTACTCTTTGTGTATTCTGGATACAAGTCATTTATCAAATATTATGAGTTGTACCTTTTGTGTTTCCTTATTATGGGAGTTTCTGCTTTCAGGACATGAGGATTTTCTCCTATATTTACACAAGTCTTACAGTTTTGGGTTCTGCCTTTATAATCTCTGGTCCATTTTTAGTTAATCTTTGTGCAGTATGCACAAGTTTCCTGTTTGTACATAAGGGTGTCCATTTGTTCCAGAGCCTCTTTCCAATGAGGGGTGATTGCATCCTTTTAAAGCTTAATTGACCTGGGCATGGTTACACCTTAGTCCCAGCATTAAAGAGGCTGAGGTAAGAGAACTGCTACAAGTTTGAGGCCAGCCTGAGCTGTAGAGTGGGCCTCTCTCTCAAAATAACAATAATAATTAATTGGCCTTAACTTTTAGCTGTGCTTATTTATTTTTGGATTCTGTATTTTACAGATTGATGAGATTATCTGCTAGTACTTGTTGACAATTTTGGGTTTATTTTATTTATTATTTTTATTTTAGGTGTATGAGTGTATTGCCTATATATGTGTAAATGTGCTCATGTTGTGTAATGCCTGTGGAGGTCAGAAAAGAGTGTCAGATCCCCTGGAACTGGAGTTACAGATAGTTGTTAGCCACCAAGTGGGTGCTAGAAACCGAACCTGAGTCCTCTGCTCTTAACCTCTGAGCCATCTCTTCAGCCCCTTGTTGAAAGTTTTTGTGTCCATGCTCCTGGTAGTTGATGGGCTCAAGTTTCCTTATACCTTTATCTGGTTTCAGTATTGGGGTGATGCTGACCTCCTAGGATGAGTTAGGGTATCCTCTCACTGGTTTCTGGAAGGAACTGTAGAATCAGTGCTGTCTCTTGCCTTAAATGTTTGGTAAATTCACCAGTGAAGCCTCCACTCACTCACAGAGAGCTGCCTCTGTAAAGAACCAGCTCTTCCTGAGACTTCCGAATGGAATAAGAAAGGGCTGAGATGGTGTTTGGAAATGAGCTTCAGAGAGAGGGATTTGGTCTGGCTAGAGCAACAGAGACTTGCTTCCTGATGGGCTTTGGTCTCCACAGGTGTTGTCTCTAGACACAAACATCACAAATCAGGTGAACAAGCTGAACCGAGACCTGCTTCGTCTGGTGGACATCGGTGAGTTCTCTGATGAGGCCCAGTTCAAAGACCCCTGCCGCTCCTATGTGCTTCCTGAGGTGATCTGCCACAGCTGTAATTTCTGCCGAGACCTGGACCTGTGCAAAGATTCCTCCTTCTCTCAGGTGGGCACAGCTCGTGGTCAGAACATCTACAACCAGACATGGGCCCTTCTGGGGGTCATAACCTCCAGATGTTGACGGTGGTTGGGACAGTCCTAAGGCTGAACATTACGGTGTAGATCTACTGCCCTCAACTGGTTCTTCTGTGGATTCAAAACAAGCCGCCCTCGAATGTAAATTGCTGTAAAATGTTAGAAAATTGTTCTAGAAAGGTCAGATGAGCACAAGTGAAAGGCCCAGGCTATATGGAATGCAGCCAAGAGTAGTGATGGTCACCTTTGCTCCACTTTTACACTCTCCAACATGTCCCCTCTTACACCAGTCCTCTGTGCTATTGCCCAGGTGGGACACTCAAACTGATTGTTTAGCCTTCTCCCTACTTTCCTAGGATGGGGCCATCCTACCTCAGTGGCTCTGCTCCAACTGTCAGGCCCCCTATGACTCAGCTGCCATTGAATCAGCCTTGGTGGAAGCCTTGGAGAGGAAGTTGATGGCCTTTACACTACAGGACCTGGTGAGTTTGGGAGTTTCCAAACACTTTTGGCATTTTAGGGAAACCAGAGCATGTTTGGATCCTGAGTCTGCCTCCAAGAGACTATCCCTAGTAGTCAGTTCTTACCCATACACCTAGCTCACTCATTCTGTCAGCATCTGTTAGCACCTGCTGTGGGCAGAAGCAGCTTCATGGCATTTTTGACCATCCAGTGGAGGTAGGTGGACAATGTGATCAACAGTGTGAGTGGTCAAGAGTGCAAGAGCAGAGCAAGAGAAAGCTTTGGCAGCATTTTATGGGGACCTGAGCAGAGTCCTGAGGCACGTGCCAGCACAGCAATTGGGATGGACAAAGGTGGCCTGGGACTAGGTCTTGGGAGTCCAGGATGGGACACAGCAAAGTGGGAAGCATGGGAGGAGCTGGCACGGTTTAGGTAAATCTTGAATTTCATTGAAGCACTGAGTTCTGATATATGAGGAGCAGGAAAATGAAGCTTGCTGATGGTTCCATGTGGAGGTGCCCCTCCACAAGGCTGAAGAGCCATAGGTGGGATCCAGTGTGGTGACTCCTCCTTTGTTTCAGGTGTGCCTGAAGTGCTGCAGTGTGAAGGAGACCCACATGCCTGTGTACTGCAGCTGTGCAGGGGACTTTGCACTCACCATTAACACTAAGGTGAGCCATTCTCCTTGACATACTATGGGTTGTCTGCCCTTCTTGCTGGGTAGATGTCACTGTGTGTTTGTTCCTATAGGTCTTCATGGAACAGGTTGGAATCTTCCAGAACATTGCCAAGCACTATAGTATGTCATACCTCCAAGAGACCCTGGAGTGGCTGCTGCAGACAAACTCTATCAGACCGTTAGTAAGCCTAGGTTGAGGACATCATGACATCCCACACCAGGCACCCTAATGCTTGTTCCAAGTGACTGAACCACTGACCACCTGACTTTTCCAACTCATGACCACAATCCAGGGAGACCTAAGAGAATACTTCAGGGAGCTTCAAGGTGGCATAATCAAGCAGGAGCAGGGAATGGCCTAATGACTCATTAGGTGCTTGTTGAATAAACATTTTTAAGCCTCTGCTTTCTGCTCCCAGCCAGCTCTTTCTTCTGCCTCCCATTCTGAGCCTGAGATAGGCTCTGGATAAAGGTGGGAGCATTGGTTACAGGGTATAGAAGCCAGTGCAGGGCTAGAGAGATGGCTTAGGTGGTTAAGAGCACTGTCTGCTTTTGCAGAAGAGAGAGGTTCAATTCCCTGTACCCACATGGTACCTAACAGCTGTCCGTAATTCCAGTTCCAGAGGATCTGACACCCTCTTCTGGCCTCATGGGTGCACTTAAATGCAGGCAGTACATTCATACACATAAAATAAAAATAATAAAGCCGGGCGTGGTGGCGCACACCTTTAATCCCAGCACTCAGGAGGCAGAAACAGGCAGATCCTTGTGAGTTCAAGGCCAGCCTGGTCTACATAATGAGTTCAGGTCAGCTGGGACTACAGGGAAACCGTCTCAAAAAGACAAAATAATAATAATAAAGAAATTTTTTTTAAAAGAAGCCCAACCACGCTGGACTCTTGCTTACTTAGGGATAAATGGGCCCTTCCCTCAACCTTGGAGCAGGATTTGGGCTACTTTAAAGGGAATCTATACCCTAAACGTGGGAACCCAGGGATTTTGCCTCAGAGCAGTCTAAGGAGTATCTGTTACCTAGTGTCTTGAGTAAGGTCTGGAGTTCTGGCCAGAGCTGGACTGAGATGGTTCTGAAAGGTAGAGCATCTCCGACCTGCCTGGTCCATGCTGCAGGCCACTCTTTGACTTCTGATCTTGGCTCACACTGGCCTGTAGCCCACAAGCAAGAGCTTTTTTTGTTTCGTTTTTTCAGCCCACGAGCAAGAGCTTTTTTTGTTGTTTTGTTTTGTTTTTTTGGTCTTTTTGAAGAGACAGGGTCTCCCTGTAACCCCAGCTGCCCTGGAACTCACTATGTAGACCAGGCTGGCCTTGAACTCACTGAGATCTACCTGTCTCTGCCTCCCAAGTGCTGGGATTAAAGGCATGCGCCACCACGTCCAGCTTGTTGTTTTTTGAGACATGGTCTCCCTGTAGCTCCAGCTGGCCTAGATCTTGCCATGTAGACCAGACTGGCCTCAATCTCACAGACATCCACCTGCTCCCAAGTGCTAGGATTAATGGTGTGCATCACCATGCATGGCAAGAACTTTTAAGGGTGCTGTCATGGATTTGAACACCCTGTATCAGACCTAGATTTTAGAAAATACCTTCTTACATCAGGCATGGTGGCACACACCTTTAGTCCCAGCACTTGGGAGGAAGAGGCAGGTAGATCTCACAGAGGCCAGCCTGGTCTACACAGTGAGTGCCAGGTCAGCTGGGGCTACAGGGAGACCCTGTCTCAAAAAGACCGAAAAAAAAAAAAAAAGAAATTCGTACATTAAAGATTTTAGACTCCTAACTGGAAGGGAGGGAGGGAGAAAAGTGAGGAAAAGCAGTCATGTAGTCAGGGGTAAGATTTCAGATGGATCTGTTTAGGGTTTTATACTCAAACACTACTGGCTTCTCAAGGCCCTAAGTACTGAGGCTGGCACCCTCTTAAAGGGGGGGACTTAATCTCCAGCCTTGCTAAGGAAGTGGGTACCCATCCACACTGCACATGGTAGAGAAAGTAGCTGTTCTCACCTCCTACTCTGTACTGGCTCTGACAGTTCCTACTAGATAGCCAGAGCCCTTTATCAGGCTCAGGAAATAGGAGAGCCTGTGCATCTCATTGAGCTAAATGCAGTCCTTGTGTACTGCTTCCTCGCCAGCTCAGGCCAACTTAGCAGCGTAGCAACCAAGTGTAAATTCAGAAACTCCACCTGAGAGGCTTACAGAGAAATGGACCTCTATTAAATTTGTCCAGTATCACTGGACCTTGCTTATTTTGTTTAAATTTTATACTTTCCATTTCTTAGCTTACCATTGTGTACTTGTGCAAGGATCCTTAGTCTCTAGAAGGAAAGCTTTATATCTAGCATCTGTCCATCAGGCTCTTGTCTGAACTTTAGTGATCTCAGGCTGTCTGTAGGGAGAAACCTGATACCCTTCTTGGAATGTGAACTGAGCTGGCAGTGCTAGGACCTTCTGAGTGAAAAGCAAATCAAATTAAGAAGAAAGGGGGAGGAAGAAGCTGGTTATCTAGGCTTCCTGGAAGTAAAGCCAGTGTGTTGGGAGACATTAGCTTATACCCCAGCAGGGCCATCTTACAGCAGCATGGGGTAGCCCAGTGCAGCCATAGATACCAGTTGATCTGAATTTGAAACCTGAACCTCTGGCCCTGGTTCCTGAGTTGTAGCCAAGGACCCAACTGGAAAGGCGTTTCTCTAACACTAAAATTGGATGTCTTGTAAACCAAACATGAAGTTAAAGGTATTTGGTGATTAGTGGAGTCAATATCCAAGGAAGGGATGGCTTTGGGTATGTTGGGAATCGATGTCCCTCCAAGCAACCTGCAAGCACTAGGTATGATAACTAGGGCCTCATTCAGAGGCATATCTACATGAGGCTGTGTGGGCAGGCCCTGGAGGTCTTCCTAGCTCTTTGGTCACTCTGCCACTTGGTATGCTGGTCTAAGATAGGATGCCTTCTGCTGGCACTCAGCATAAATATGCTTAGCCTCCAGGGAGCCAAGTTCCAAGCTCCCAACGGCCTTCCAAGCAGTCGCCACTCCACTAGCAGCAAAATGGGTAATTAAATTACCCCAGGCCCTGATGTTAGTTCTGACTTTGTCCTTGCCTCACTCACTGTCTCCTGTCTCCATCCCATCACAGGGATTCTGAACATAGCTTGGTCCCCTTGACAAGTACAGCTATGACCTAACTATATATCCTGCGCTCTGCACCTAAGATGGCAAACTCGGACTACAGGGTCCATAGAAGACTGACCATCCTGTCTTATATTCCTGGGTCCACAACTGCCCCCAAAAAAATTGAGGCCAGAAGGCTTCTAGTCACCAGTTTATTGGTGTCAGCCTGGTTAGGACTTACAAAGAAAAGATTAGGGTTCTGAAACAGGAAGATAACTCTGACTTTGGGTCACAGAAGGCTGTGTGAGAGGGTGAATGGGTGGGTAAGGAAGGGATAAGGGGTTCTATGAGGGGTTTGGGAGTGAGGTGGAGGAACCTCTGTCACTGAGCCCGTCTGGGTCTGTAGCTTAGTGAGGATGAGGTCAGAGTTGGGCCAGACCTTTAGGGTTCGTGGGTAAGAAGTCCTGTTGGGAAGGCTCAGGAACAGGAAGCCTTTCTCTTATATGCTGATTGAAAGTGTCCACCATCTGCTCAGGTGGGACAGAGATGGGGCAAGGCCACGGGGGCTGGACAGCCAGGGGTTGATCTGCCCCTTGTCCTGAGGTCAGCCCTCTGCCAGATGGTGGGCTGGGTGGCTGGTCCTGGGAGTAGTGACTAGGTGGGGGAGGGGCCTGGCCCAAGACAAGGGCAAGGGTCACAGGCCAGCTGCTTGAGGGGTGCCTTGGAGTACACACCTTGTCAAATTTCTTATGGCTGTAGACTTTGTTTTTGTTCATGAATGTTAGCAAGATCCAGTCACACAGGAAGGATCCCTGAGGCCAGCAGAAACCACTGGGTAAGGGCCTGTCAGACATTCCCCACCCCACCCAGACCCTTAAGTAAATTTCTTACCACACCAATGGAAGTCAGAGCAGTGGCCAGATTAATGATGGTGGGAATGAGACTGAACTTCCCTGCCTGGGAAGAATAGGCTTGCATTTAGGCCTTCAACACAGGCTGCTTGGGACAGGAATGGGGTTCAAGGGGAGGGATGCTGTAAGAGATATGGAGCTGGGACAGCCCAGGCCTGGGTAGAGCCATCATTGCAAGTGGGCAGGGTTGGCTGGCCCCAGCCCTTCAACTGCTTACCTGTCCGTGCACAATAACATCTATTCGGATCCCATAGGCTTTTATAAGTGTGCGAGTGGTCGTAGTGCCATTTATCTTGTAATACTTGGCAAACCTAGGGTAGAGTGAACCCAAAGCAATGTCCAAGCTGACTACAGAGTCTAGTGTTGTGCACGCTTGTCTTCCTCTCTCAAGGGCCACTTCTGGGCCGAAGCAGACAACACTGTCTGTGTCATGACCCAGATGTTCACAGAACAAAGTACCTGAAGTTGTAGCCTGAGGAGGCCGCAGCATGCTTAGGGTCAAGCCTCCGGAAAGAATACTTGGGGTTGCACTCTGATTCAGACAAGTCCAGGTCACAGTCCCAATTGATGATGACCCCAATGACACCACCCTGCAAAGAAGCCAGTCAAGGGAGAGTCAGGAGGACATACAGCAGAAAACCCTCAAGGGGTAGGGTCCAGCACCAGGGCAGCTCAGGGCCAAGGGTGCAGGGACAAGTGCATGTTTTGTGTAGCTTTGGAGGTATTAGTAGCAGCTATGGGACCAGGGGTCAATAATTAAGCAGGTGCATGCACAGACCATGGGTCAGGATGATCGTGTTTCCTCTGCCTAAATGGACTGGCCAAGACAGAGAAGGTACAGCTAGCTGCAGTAAAACCCTTCCTGGATAGCAAACACTGGTACCCAGCTTCACTGTCTGCCCCTTCTCCCCCTCACCTTGTGTGCCAGCTCTGTAAAGTTCTCCCCCGCCTGCTCTACAATGAAGCCCAGCCTGAAGATGGGACAGTATGGGTCAGAATCCTGATCAAATGTGCAGTGCTTCAGATAGTCATTCTTCTGGCTCGCAATGTTGCCCCTAAGGTGTGGCAGAAGGCACAGACCTGTACTCCAAACACATGGCTCCCAACACAAGCTTCCACACTGGCCAGTCACTATGCTGCCCATTACCCTGTCCCTCAGACTCTTACTTGGAGAACTTGAACTTGGGGTAGTGGATGCTGTTCTTGATAAGGATGGTGAAATTTGGGGCCATTTTACCCAGAAACTGGCTGCAGAAACAGAGACAGGGATTTAATCTCCCCTCCCCCTAAGTCCACCTGGAGGGACCTCTCCCAGGCCTGCCCTGTGGTCCCCCCCACCACCATCTGATCTCCAGTGAGGAAAAAGAATAGCAGTGGGGTCTCTGAACCTCACATACCTGACAGAAGATCCATCCTCCACAGGACACCAGGCTGACACCTCACAGGTCTTGGAGTCCCCATGGTAATAGGGCACACAGCGCCCTGTCCGAAGCCCTGTGGGGGAGAGAGTGGTTAGACCCTGGGGCCAGTTCTGCCCCCCACCTTCCCCACTATGCCCAGTGCACACTGACCACTGCCCAGCATATCCAGCTCTCCAGCCACGCAGTCGTCATCTGAATGGCAGGTGGAATTGTGAATCTTCATACTCTAAGGTGAAAACTGCAGGTCAGGGGTAGACCCTGCAACTGGCCTAGAAGGCTCCCCAGGCCGCCCTCGACCTGCCTCACCTCTGGGCATGTTCCCAGGGTCTGGGAAGGCGTGACCTCGATCCTGGTGATGATGCTGAACACACTGCCCCCCTGAGTGCAGAAAAAAGGTACCGTGGGCCGGTCAGCTCGATCCTACTAGTCCTACCATCCAGCTAGTCTGACCACGCAGCGCGGGGGCTTGGGGACAGAGAGCACCGCACCTCAGGGGGTTTCACGTATTCCTCCACATCCCATACTTTGTGCTCCGACACGGTGATCCCCTTGACTTTGGTGATGATGGAACTCTCCGGACCTGTCTCGCTGTCCTGGTAGCTTTTCTGCACGATAAACACGTACCTGCGGGACAGGGCGGCGCGGGCTCCCGAGGCAACCCTGGGGGGGGACCAGGGCGGACCAGGACATCCGCTCCTGGGACCCTAAGGGCGGCCGCGCGGCCCCCAGCTGGCGATTCCCTGCTGCCCGGCCCCCACCGCATCCCCGGCCCGCGCACCACACGAAGTAAAGCAGGATGAGCAGCTGCACTGCGCGGTACACGACTCCCAGGCGCCGATTTCGCACCACGATCACCTTGGGCGTCTCGTAGTCCAAGAACGCGGACCAGCAGCCCCGGGCCAGGCTCCGAGCCGTGGCCACCCGCTCTGGGAGCCGGGGCTGCACCGAGGCCATGGTCCACGTACACGGTCTGCCGGAGTCTCCGGAGCCCTGCGCCCGCGAGGTGCTGCACAGGCGGGGGTGTGGCCTCGAGCCCCGCCCCAGGACGGCGCGGCTTCCCCACCCCAGCAGGTGTGGCCGAGGGCGGCTCGGAGCGGCCCGGGTGGTGGCCACTCCTGCTGGGTGAGAGCGAGCCTCCCCTCCTGGTGGGCGCCCAGCGCGGCTGGAGAAAGGAGGCTCCCCGCCAAGAAAGCCGCACAGCCCGCCGGCCCGCCCCTTCTCACCTGAGGCCGGCGACTCGCACACGGAGGATCCGGAGGGCGGCTCCCGACCCTCTCGGGGTTTCTACACCAGCTTCTCCGCCAGCCACAGCCCTCTTCTCTTGCCTGAATTGCCCATCTCTGTGCTGTGATTTCGCTTCCCCGTCTTTTTTCTTTTTTTCTCCTCTGCAAACCAAAGTTGTTTTCCCAGTAACTTCTTGTATGTCCATTGCATCCATGTTGTTTATGACAAATCCTCCTAAACATCTTAGTATTTCACAGATTATTTAAGCTGTCTTTGGTGGTGGTGAAATGCATATAGCACACAAACCAGTCAGTGACTGGGAGTACATGACTGGGCATTGTGCGGTTCCCACAGCCACCGCAAAATAAAGCCCCGAGTCATGAAGGAGCCATTCCTGTTCCCCCTCCTAAGCTCTGTCAAGTGCTAGTCTTCTTTGTGTCCCCGTGGGTTTTTCTGTTCTGGATGGTTCATGTAAATGAAACTACAATATACAGTCCACCGATACTGTGGCATGTACCTTAGAGGCAAAAAGAATTCCATTAAATGGATAGACTAGACCTGTAATTTGTTCCTACCTTTTAGCTGTTGTGAAATAGTACAGTTCTGAAAACGTGCCCATAAGTATTTGAACTGTTTAAATCTAGCCAGAGGTTACATCCTTCCCAACATCACGGATTCAGCTTGCCTCCTAGACCAGCTCCACTTCACACCTGCTGCTGTCCTTGGTGGTCATTCCATGGTCCTGACACCTCCAATATCCTGGGGTCTCCACTGCAGCTGAGGCTGCACCTTCACCAGTGGTCTCTCCTGGCGTCTCACAATGCTAATACTCAGCTGCTCTCCATGACCCCTTTAGTCCCACAGCTTTCATGCCACCAAAGCCAGTACCACATAGGAGACTCTTACACATTACCAAGTCCAGCTTGAGATGCAGCCTGAGCTCCCTCTGTACCACAGTATCTGCTGACCCTGAGGAAATACTTCCCAGAAGATTTCACCTCAATTATATTGGTCTCTTGTTACTCACAGCTGATTTTTCAGATCCAGCCAACCAGCACTGATTATCCCAGTAAAGCAAAAAAGGTTTCATTTCCAAGAATCTTAATTCAAGTATGCCACACAAACTTCCCTGATAGAGTCTTTGCTTCCTTCTGAAACTTCATAAGCCAATCCTCCACTGCCTGCATCTCTCTCAACATTCTGATTTCCAATCTCCCACAGAATGTCCATTAAGCTCTAAGCACTCAATGGTTTTCCCAGCCCAAAGTTCCAAACACTTCCACAATCCTCCCATGAAATATGGTCAAGTTCTTTACAGCAATACCCCATGTTCTTGGTACCAACTTCTATCATAGTACTTTTTTATTTACTTGTTTATTTTGGTCTTTTTGAGATAGGGTCTCCTTATAGCCCCAGCTGGCCTGGAACTCACTATGTAGACCAGACTGACCCTGAACTCACAGAGATCAACCTACCTCTGCCTCCTGAGTGCTGGGATTAATGGTGTGTGCCACCACACCTAGCTATTTTTATTTTTTAATATTTTATTTGTTATTTTTATTTTATATATATGAGTATATTGCCTGAATGTATGTAAGTACACCTGTGTTGTGCAGTGACCACAGAGGTCAGAAGAAAATGTCAGATTCTCTTGGAACTGGAGTTACAGACAGTTGTTAGCCAACATGTGGGTACTGGGAATCAAACTCAGGTCCTCAGCAAGAGCAGTCAGTGCTCTTAGCCACTAAGCCATCTCTCCAGCCCCAATAGTACTTTGGGGGGGGGTAATTTAATTTAATTAATTTATTATTTATTTATTCTGTAGCCCCAGCTGTCCTGGAACTCACTATGTAGACCAGGCTGGCCTTGAACTCACAGAGATCCGCCTGCTTCTGCCTCTTGCGCCACCCGTCCTGGCTATCCAATAGCTATTTTTCTTTTATGTTTATGAGTGTTTTGCCTGCACGTATGTAAGTTCACCATGTGCATGCAATGCCTGCAGAGGCCAGAAGAGGACATCAGATCCCCTGGAACAGGAATTACAGATAGTTGTTAGATATTGTATAGATGCTGGGACTCAAACCCAGGTCCTTTGCAAGAGTAGCCAGGGCTCTTAAACCACTGAGCCATCTCTCCAGCCCCACATATAAGTTTTTAAAAATTTTGCTGACATTCAACTTATCTACTTTTTCATCCATTGCTTGGCTTCTGGTGTAAGGTGTGTGTGTGTGTGTGTGTGTGTGTGGTATGTGCATGTTTAAATGTGTGTAGGTGCATGTGCATGCATGTACACATACATGCAGAGCCAGACATCAATATTGGGTGTTATTCCTTAGACTCTGTCTACTCAGGGTCTCTCACTGGGACCTGAACTGACTGTTAAGGTAAGCTGGCTGGCCAGTGAGCCCCCAAGATCCTCCTGTCTCCACCTCATCAGCTCTGAGATTATAAGGGCATGCCACCATGTCTGGCTTTTTATGTGAGTGCTGGGATTGAACTCAGGTCCTCATGCTTGCACAGCAAGCACTTTGCCAACCAAATCATCTCCCGAGCCCTAGATGACAGACCCAGAAGATGTCATGTCTAACAATGTTTCCAAATTCAAAGACATGAAGATTTATTCCTGTTTTCTTATAAAATTCTGGTGGTTTTAGACTGGGTCATTGGAGTATTTGAGTTCATGTGATGGGAGATAGGGGTCCAGCCTCATTCTTTTTTTTTTTTTTTCTTTTTCTTTTTGAGACAGTCTCCCTGTAGCTCCAGTTAGCCTGATACTCGCTATATAGACTCAGCTGACCTGGATCTCACAGAGATCTGCCTGCCTTTGCCTCCCAAGAGCTGGGATTAATGGAATGCACTGCCACACCCAGCTCAGCCTCATTCTTTTGTATGTGGATAGCCAATTGTTCCATACCATTTGTTGAAGAGACTTCTTTACCCACTGGAGAATCCAGTCCATTATTTTTCTTTTTCAGTGTTGTTTTGGCCCTTTAGTGGTCCCTTAAAACTCCATATGAATCTAAGCACCAGCATTATCAATTCTGCAGATAAAGCTATAGGAAATTTGACACATATGCACTCCAGCTGTAGGAGGTTAATATTGCCCTCCTAACAGCATAAAGTCTACCATTTCATCATCACGGAATAGCAGGACATTAATTTAGATTTCTGTAATGTCTTTCAGCAATGTTTTGTGGCTTTCAATGAAAACTCTTGTTTATTCCCCTTCATTTTTATTTATTTATTTATTTACTTACTTTTTATTTATTTTTGGTCTTTTTGAGACAAGGTCTCCCTGTAACCCCAACTGGCCTGGAGTTCATTATGTAGACCAGGCTGGCCTTGAACTCACAGATACCTACCTGCCTTTGCCTCATGAGTGCTAGGATTAAAAGTGTGCACTACCACACCCGGCCTATCCCCTTCATTTTATTGATGTGTTATATTACATTGATTTTATTATTAATTCTACCCTACCCTAAATTAGAAGAATAACTCCCATATGATCAGGTTTTATGATTTTTTTTTTTTGGCCTTTTTGAAACAGGGTCTCCCTGCAGCTCCAGCTGGCCTGGAAGGTAGACCAGGCTGGCCTTCAACTCACAGAGATCCGCCTGCCTCTGCCTCCCGAGTGCTGGAACTACAGGCATGCACTTTTTTTGGCCTTTCTGAGACTATATGACCCTTTTAATATGCACTTCTAGGCCAGTATAGTGGCACGCCCCCCCCCTTTTTTTTTTTTTACTGAGGAAACTCACTTCAGGGTTGGGGATATAGCTCAGTAGTGGAGTCCTTGCATAGCGTGTGCAAGACTCTCAGCTCAATCCACAGTGTTTGCTTGTTTTTTTTTTTAATTTATTGAATGTTTGTGTATTTCATACAGAACATCTTAATTATCTTTATACCCCCTTCCCCATTGGCACCTACCCATAGGCCTCTACTGGAATTCATACATTCTGTCATTTGTCTTAAGGCCTATAATGTCAAGTTAGTGTCCTCAGATGTCCCTCAGGGCAAGTTCATCCATCGAAGTCTAATCAGCCTATCTTAGAGTCCCTCCCTTTAAGATCAGCTCTTCAGGTCTTCCTCACCCAGCAGTTATCAGTTGCCAATAATTTTTAGACTAAGATTGGGGCCTACTGTTCTGTTCTGTGATGGGTTTTTGTCTGCTTGAGTTTATGTGGGTCTTGTGCATGCTGACACCATTGCTGTAGGTTCATATGAGAAGGGTCCCAGTAGACTGTAGGACTCTCTTTGCATATTGTCATGCACCTCCTCCCTGGCTCTTACAGTCTTTCTGCCTCCTCTTCTGCATGGTCCCTGAGCCCTGAATGGGTGGATTTTACTATAGGAGTCCTGTCCAAGGACCCATACTCTATAGACTCTTATTCTCTAGTTTTTGGCCATTTATGACCTTTTGTGTTCCTGGCCGTCTGTTGCATGAGGGAGCTTCATCGATGAGAACTGAAAGATACATCAGCGTTCTCTTCATCCCTTGTTCTCTGTTCCTTGAGCCTTAGGTGTAAAGGTTGCGTCGTAGTTGTGCCTCTTGGCCTTGGGCAATTCACAGACAATCTCTGTGTTTGACCAGTTGTGGAACTCTGTAATAACCTCTCTGTGTTGAAAAAGAAGCTTCTTTGATGGATGGTAACTGGGATACTTGTCTACAAATTTAAGGATCCATATTTTGCACACAGTAAGAAATTACATTTGTCCAGGGATGTGACAGCCTTGGGGTTTTCTCTAAGATCTATGACCTCTCCAACTATGTGTATTTGACTAGCTTTATAGTACCACA